GAGGCAGATGGGAGCCTATTCCCTCCAGCAACACTCTAAACCTCTGTGGAACAATTTAATTTTTCTGTGGATATAAGTGATTTACATCTAGTAGGTGGAACAAATGGAAATGTAATATAACCCATTAACAGCAAGGCATAATTACTGAGAAAAATCCGCCTGGGCTGGGGTTTAAGCAGCCACTCACACCTAACCCAGACCCAGAGGCAGCCCTGGGAAAGCCAGCACTGGTCATTTTAGTGAGAAACCTGGAATACAATAGTTCAGTCTCAGAGGCTGTCCATAGCATAGGAATCACACACTTTCATGATTTGTGGGAATCACACACAAGCAGTAAATTGAAATATAACTTGGGCTGCCTTACCTGAAAAGGCCCCATCCTAGCTGAAGGTGAAACCTCTGCTACCACACCTTTTAGGTCAAGGACCATAGCAGAGGCTCGGCCTTCTCCATCCTGGGGAAGTTGCTCTGGTTCTGTGGGTTTAAAGAACCTATGGCAATGTATCAGAACTCTTCCTGCAATCATCAGCTTATAAAGGCTCACAGTCTCCAAGGTTTTAGCTCATCACCAATGAACTTCATTGTCTTGGGGCTGTGGCCGCTCTTTACAGCAGAACCATGGGACAAAGGAGGTCCATCTATGTGATGGTGTGAATGTATGGAGAGGGATCACTCTGGCCTAAACCTCCCTTGGCCTCATCTCTTTTTTGTTTTTGTTTTGGGCTTGGGTTTATGAGATAGTGTCTTGCTAGGTGGCCCAGAATGTCCCTGAACTCACAGAAATCCTTCTGCCTCAACTCTCCATCCTCTGCATTAAGACTATAGATACAGGGGCTGGAAAGATGGCTCAGTGGTTGAGAGCACTGACTGCTCTTCCAGAGGACCCGGGTTCAATTCCCAGCCTCCAGATGGCAGCTTGCAGCTGTCTGTGACTCCAGTTCCAGGGGACCTGGCACACACACACACACACACACACACACACACACAGTCAAAACATTAATGCACATAAAATAAAAAATAAATAAAGTTTTAAAAAAAGATTACAGATACATGCTCCTTCACAATCTGCTTTGGGCCCCACCTCTATTTATCAATCTATACTTCTGCTCATTTATCTTTATTACTGTATTAGTTTGCTTCTCTGGTGCTGTGACAAAGAGGAGGAACGGGTTTATTTGACTTAGGATTCTGTGTCACAGTCCATCATCCTGGGAGGCTGGGGCAAAAGTTTGGAGGTGGGAACTGAACTAGAAACCAGGAAGAATGCTGCTCACTGGCTTGCTTCCAAGCTCAGGTTAGCTGCCATTTTTTTTTTTCCGAGACAGAGTTTCTCTGTATTGTTTTTGAGGCTGTCGGTCCAGCCCAGCCTCGAACTCACAGAGATCCGCGTGCCTCTGCCTCCCGAGTGCTGGGATTAAAGGCATGCGCCACCACTGCCCGGCAGTTAGCTGCCATTTTTATACCGCCAGGGCCACATGCCCGGGGTGGTCCTGCCCACAGTGGGTTGGGCTTCCCCACATCAGTCAACGGTCAATAAAATGTCCCTTGAGGCAGGAGAGTTGGCTCAGAGGTTAAGCCAACTTTGCTCTTGCAGGTTTGGTTCCCAGCACCCACAAGTAGGCTCACCACCACCTTGGGCATCAGGCATGCATGTGGCACACCTACTTACACATAGGCAAAGCACACATAAAATAATAAAAATAAATATTTAAAAAGGAAAAAGAAAACACCCACAGACCTGCTTGCTACAAGTCAACCTAATGGAGAGAATTCAGTTGAGGTTCCCTCTCCCAAGTTATATCAAGTTGACAACCAAGATTAGCCACCACTTACATTCAGTGTGTGTGTGTGTGTGTGTGTGTGTGTGTGTGTGTGTGTGTGGTGTTCGTATGCACTCAAGTGTGTTCATTGCATGCAACAGCACTTATGTGGGGGGCAGAGGACGACTTGCTGGAGTTGGCTCCTACCATGAGATTCCTGGGGCTGTAATTGGCAGCAAGAACCTCTACACACTGTGCCATCTTGCTGGCCCTAACACTATGTCTTAACGGTTTTCTACCACCTTCTTTTTTAAAAGACAGGATTGATATATCCCAGTCTGTCCCCAAACTCACTACATAACCCAAGGAAGGCCTTGAATTCCACATCTTGCTGCTTCTACCTCGCAAGTACTGGGTTTAGTGATGTGTGTCACCACTCCCAGTTTATACAGCGCTGGGAAGAGAAAACAAGGCTGCATGCTTCCAGGCCAGCACTCCACCACCAGAACTACATCTTTCCCCTTCTGCCACCTCTTAATAGTGGCACAGACTGCGAATCAAGCGTCTGATACATGTGCCTTTGGGAGACACTTAGGATCCCGCTACAGAGGCTGGAAAGGTGACTCAGTGGTAAAGAGCACTGACTGCTCTTCCAAAGGATCTGGGTTCAATTCCCAGCACCCACATGGTGGCTCACAATCCTCTGTAACTCCTAATCCAGGATCTCTGATGCCCACTTCTGGTCTCCTCAGGCAGAGGCACGCACAGGTACACAGGGGGCATACACATGTACTTGCTGGCAAAACACTCACACACATAAAATAATAAGATACAATTTAAATAAATGCATCTTTAATAAGATCTAACAGAGCATTTTTCCAAACACAGATTGGGGCCCTCTGTTGCTTATGAAGCACTACCAAAGCCTGTGGATAGGAGGTATTTATCCACAAGGGCTAAGCATCAAAAGAGCTAAGATTAAAGGGCTTGGTAAGAATGTATCCTTGTGGGGGCTGGAGGGATGGCTGAGCAGTTAAGATCACTGGCTGTTCTTCCAGAGGACTTGGGTTCAATTCCCAGCACCTACATAGCAACTCACAACTGTCTGAAACTCCAGTTCCAGGGGATCTGACACCTTCACACCAATGCACATAAAATAATTAAAAAATATATCCTGGTGGGCATTTGTGGTGCATGCCTTTAATCCCAGCAAAGGAAGGTGAACCTCTGTGAATTTGAGGCCAGCCTGGTCTACAAAGCTACACAAAGAAACCCTGTCTTGAAAAACCAATAATAATAATAATAATAATAATAATAATAATAATAATAAATAAAATGTATCCTTGCATCCAAAGGGACTAGAAGGGATAATAGCTGAATGAGTCCAGAGTGCAAGAAGCTTCGGGAAGTGGAGGGACCAGAGATGGGTCGGGTAACAGCCCAGGTGCAGCAGTTCCCCAGGGCTTGGCCCAGGTCTCGTGGAGATGGTGAGGGGACAGCTTCGCTGCAGCCAACACCACACCACACGAAAACTTACTGACCAGGAACTGCAGTTGCTGCTACTAAGAAGCAGTCCTGAGCCCTCTGACGGTTCCTCTGAGCCTACAACACAGCATGGAAAGGGCCAGAGATGGAGAATATGGGAGGAGAGGAGACAGCCCCAAGAGCAATTCCAGACTCCTCCCTCCTCACGTTGTCATCACCATCACCACGCCCCATTGCTGAGTGACTGCACAATTCTTTCCACGTATTTGTTTGTTTGTTTTCAAGACAGGGCTTCTCTGGGTAGCTTTGGAGTCTGTCCTGGAACTCACAGAGATCCACCTGTCTCTGCCTCCTGAGTGCTGGGATTAAAGGCGTGTGTCGCCACTGCCTGGCTCCACACTTTTTTATGCAACCCTCCATCTTCATCATCATCCTCCCATCATGCACCTCCCTAATGTCCAGCTTGGGTCCTACTTCCATGAAGTCTTCCCAGGCCTTTGAGGTGTCTAGGGATATGAATCAGAATGCTGGCTTTGGCTTTGTTCTGCTAAGAGTGCCTATCAAGATGTGGCTAGACCCAAGGATGTCTTTGGTTTTTGTTTTTTGGTTTTTTTGGTTTTTTGGTTTTTTTCGAGACAGGGTTTCTCTGTATTGTTTTGGAGGCTGTCCTAACACTCACTCTTGTAGACCAAGCTGGTCTGGAACTCACAGAGATCCACCTGCCTCTGCCTCCGGAGTGCTGGGATTAAAGGCGTGCTCCACCACCGCTCAGTCCCAAGGATATCTTATTTATGTTGTCATTACATCCATAGGCAATGAGCTCTTTTCTAAAATCAAATGATGGGTTAGAAGCATCAGCATGAAACCCACTAAGAGGGTTTCATGAGATCAAAGAGAAAGGAGCCCACAGGAACCTCCATACTAATTGCAACTAAGTATATTTGGAGTCTTGAACAAGGAAATTCAGTTTCCTAGAGTTTGTCTTAGTCACAGACTTCCTGGACCACTAACTGGAAAACACCCAGAGGTCAAAGAGCAGGCTGATAAAGGATCCACAAATCAGTTCTTTGGAAAATAGTTGGAGCTGGGCGGTGGTGACACACACCTTTAATCCCAGCACTCATGTGGCAGAGGCAGGTGGATCTCTGAGTTCGAGGCCAGCCTGGTCTTCAAAGAGAGTTCCAGGACAGGCTCCAAAAACTACAGAGAAACCCTGTCTTGAAAATCCAAAAAAAAAATAGTTGCAGACATTAGAATATGGGTTTGGGAAACATGAGACTCTCAAGCATATGATGTCTGTAGTCAGAGGTCACTTGGGAGATACATACGTGGTCCCGTGTGAGTCCCTGGGACTGCTGGGATATCTCAAGAAGATACCTTTTGACTCAGCTTGAGGCGTCAGTTTCTAACAGTAAACACTAAACTGTCCTACTCTGAAACAAGGGCCCTCTTCTTCTTTTTATTTTATTTTTGGACAGTCTAACGACGTAGTCCACTTTAATCGTGAAGATACAGCGACCTCTTCTTGAATTCCCTGGGGGTAGGGGTGGAGTGAGGGGTGACTGGCTTGTCTTTCAAAGTCCCTTTCCAAGCCTAGGAGATCTCAATGTTCTGTCTTTTCTGAGCAGTGCATTTGGGATAGCAAAAACTGACTTGTGTACGGGCTGGAGGAGCAAGACGGCGTGGGGTAGGGTTGGAAGAGTGAGCGGTGCTTAGTCATTTCAAGATCCAAGAAGAACAAGTGTCCCAGAAGGGTACAGGACTAGAAGTGCTATAGAGAGGCACTCCAGCCCACTGTCCTGGCCTCAAGACCAGCAAGATGACTCAGCAGGTAAAGACACAACCTGACCACCTGAAATGGATCAATGTCTACCACAGGTCTTCATGACAGAGGTGACACTCACGATGGGGACAGAGCAGGAGGAGGAGCAGGTGCTGAGAGCCTGCAAGGCAGCTGCCCAGGGAAGCAGAGGATAAATATGGAGTCTGGACCCTTGGATGTAAGGTAGCTGCCTCGGTGTGTACCAGGATCCTGGGTAAGTCTGTCTGTCTGTCTCTCTCTCTCTCTCTCTATCTTTGTCTCTGCGTCTGTCTCTCTCTGCCTCTCTCTCTGTGTCTCTCTGTCTCTCTCTCTCGGCTCAGCATGGCTCTGTAGCTGTGTTTATGTTGTGCTTTCATTTGGTAATTTCGGTTTTTTGGTCTTCTGGTATTATTTTAGGGTTGTTCCCTTTGAAACATTATAGCTTATCTCTTTCAAACTTGAGCTGCAAGGGGAAGGGGGATACTCCTTCCTAGATAGGCACATGGATGGCAGTAACAGGTTGGTCAAGTGCCCTGGCTTGCCTAGGGCTTTCCCAGAGCTGGGACTTTCTTTTGGTTCTGGGCAAACTGGTATGGTTGGTCAACCCTAGTGATGAGGAAAGTAAAGACCTAGAGGTGGCTGGCCGCACTCTGTTCGTGTCCCTTTCTAGGAGGAGTTTCCCAAGTCTGTGTGCATCCATCCCTCTTACAGGTTCAGCCAGCCGAAGTGAAGGGCTGCCTTCACACCAGACCCCTGACCCCGTTCAGACCACAATTGCCAGGAAAAGCTTGACTAGTGCTGATGCTGTGGGGGAGTTTCCCTTTTTCTTAAAAAAAAAAAAAAAGAAAGAAAGAAACACATACACACAACAGAAAAGACCCAGTGGAAAAAAATGATGAGTTGAGAGGCAAGTGGCAAGCCCTACGCAGCCTCAGGAGACAGCACACAGCTCATTTGTTTAAATTTGCAGCTGACGCCGGCCACCTCTCCATAGACACCAGCACAGAGTTTCTCGGCATCAGACAGTGACCAGTCTGCTGACACAGAGGTACAGCTATGAACTACCCACTAACCCTGGACATGGATCTCATCACCTATAACCTGGATGACCTGGTGAGTACAGACATGTAGCTCCCTGCTGCCTAGGTCCTGCTTGGAATTTTAAATATTCTGTGTCAAGGGAGAGGGGACAGCTTGGGAGCCCCTCCACAAGGATTATAGAACATAGGTGAATGCTTGGGAGACTGCGTTCTTAGACTTTCATTGTCCATCCTGTCTGCTGCCATTAATAGTAATAGATACCAGAGGGAGGTGGCAGCCACAGGGAGACTTTGTATCTCCTGCTGTGTGACTCGGTGCACACCTCCGCCTTTCTGTTCAATACACGGTCCTCTCTTTGTCTCTTTGGGTTAGAATGGCAAAGTGTCTTGGAAGTTCTCTGTCTGTCTTTCAAGACAGGGTTTCTCTGTGTAGCCCTGGCTGTCTTGAACCTCATTCTGTAGACGAGGTTAGCCTTGAACTCACAGAGATCCACCAGCCTCTGCTTCCACGCCCAGCTGGAAGCCTTCTTAATGTCAGTATGCCAGTCCTGCTAGGGAATCAGTCCATGTGTAGTTGTTCACTGGGGAAGGACTCAGCTGGTTGAGTGAGTGCCAAGCATGCATGAAACCGAGCTTCGTCTCCAGCACACATACACTGAGGCTGGTGGTACATGCCTGTAAAGCATGAGGAAGACAGGGCCAGAAGCAGCAGAAGCTCAAGTTCACCCCCAGCTACATAGCAAGTTTGAAGCCAGCCAGAACACATGAGATCTTGTCTCAAAAATATATACGTATTTGATCATCTCGCTGTATGGCTTTACCATCAAGGTACAGCATTCTGGGTTGGATGGAGAGGCTGAGAACCTCACCTTTGCCCTCAGAGAGTTTACGGTCTAGACAAGCGGGAGGAGGGAATCCCATCTGGAAGCTTTTAGACAGAAGTATGGATAAAGGAAGTGAGAGGGCAGATGGCAGCAAGGACGAGGATCCCAGTGGCCAGGGACATGCAGCAGGGAATGCTAAACTGTATCACTCTTAAAAGAGCGTGTTGTCATGTTGTCCGGGAAGGGACTAGAAACTTCACCGTGGTCTTATTCTCTATGAGCTGCTTTCTGGACTAGGCCATGAAGACTCACAGACCCTGGGTGCTATCAGATCTCCTGTTCTGAACACACCTTGAGGTGCACCCCCGACTCCCTCAGCTCTCAAGCATCTGTGGTCTTGCGGGGAGATGCTCCTTCCTTCAGGTCTCAAGCTGAGAAGTGCCTGTGGCCTGTGGACCGATGTGAGTGCTAGGCTTCGTCACAGTGGGTGTAGCCGCTGTAGCCCAACCATGGTTCAAATCTATCCATGTGTCTACTCAGTACCTGCTGTAGTTTGCAGGTCCAATGCAAAAATCAAAATATAAAGCCTTTTGTTGGAAAAGAATGAAAAATTTCAAAGATGGGAATGGTAGCTCATATCTGTAATCCCAACACTCAAAAGATTCGGGCATGTGAATTGTGAATTTGAGGCTACATAGAAAGACTTTGTTTCAAACAAACAAACAATTCAAGATGACAACAGAAAGCATTAAACCCATCCTGAGGTCCTTCTAAGTGCTGAATCCCCATGACTGCCCAAGGGGCACCCCCACGATGACAGCTGAGTGTCATCAGGATCTAGGCCAGAACGCAGGTCAGATTTTAAGCTGAACTGTTCTTCAAGGCAGCAAGCCCCCACCTTTACCCTCATCCCTACCACTGGCTTCCCCTGATTTGGTTAGTTGGTATCTTCAGCCCTCAGCATCAAGCTGACCATCGGCACTGACCCAGTTGGATGCCTTTGTAACCACCTGGAGACCTGGCCGTTCCTGGCTTCTGAGAAACCTCAAGAGTTTCCCCTAACTGCACGCCTCACCTCACTGTGTGACCTACTAGAGACAGGTGGTAGCAGGGGGTGGAGGGACAGCTGAGGGTGTCCCCAGAGAAGCCTGGCAACTTCTTCATGGCACATATCGAACCAAAGGCCCTCAGCTATGTGCCTGGACATCGGCTAAGGTCTGACTAGGAGCCCAGGAATCCTAAAACAATCCTGGCTCTGGAACCCTTCAGTCAAGCACATCCTGCCTTCGCCTACCTCCCTTGCACTCTCTTCAGGGGGGTTGACACTCGGGAACACAGATCCTCCTCTTTGGCCCCACCCACCTTCCAAAAGGTCATGACTGGCCTTGGCACACTGCCCCATTCTGGCATAGTGTAAGTGTCCTAGATGGTAGACCAGGCAGAAAAGACTTGCATTCGTGTCTTCTCAATAAAATTGTGGGTTTCTCTTTTACTCTGTTTGTTTGTTATACTGGAATTGGAAACCAAGGCCTCATGTGTCCCCAGCACTCCCGAGGAGCATTTCCTGCCTTGAGGAAGGAAGTTGAGGTCTTAGCATGCCTTTTTTTTTCTGGGGAGTCTAGAGAAAGAGCTTCTCCCATTGATTTTTTTTCCTGTTCCTTGTCCTTCACCCAGCTGACTACCCACTTACCTTCCTAGTTTACTAGGTTCCACACTCCAACTTGGGGTTCTGAAACAGGGATCGTAATAAGTCAAGCAGCAACCATCCTTTATCCTATTTAAAAATCTTTACACTTGTGTATTTATTGTGTGTGTGTGTCTGTGTGTACACATGCACTTATGGGATTTAGTTCTCTCTTTCCAGTAGGTCTGACCCAAGGATTGAACACTGGTGTCAGGCTTGGTGGCAGGTGCCTTTACCCACTGAGCCGTCTCACCAGTCTCTTTTATTATTATTATTATTATTAGTTTGGTTTTTTGAGACAGGGTTTCTCCGTATTGTTTTGGAGGCTGTCCTGGACTTGCTCTGTAGACCAGGCTGGCCTCAAACTCACAGAGATCCGCCTGCCTCTGCCTCCCGAGTGCTGGGATTAAAGGCATGTGCCACCAACGCCAGACTTTTTTAAAATTATTTTTAATTAGTTAATTTTGAGACAGGATGTCTTTGTAGTCCTTACTGTCCAGGAACTTGCTATGTATACGAGGCTCGCCTTGAACGCATAGAGATCTGCCTGCCTCTGCTTCCCAAGTTCTGAGATTGAAAGTGTAAGCCACCATGCCCTACCCATCCTTTGTAATAATATAACTATTATTATTACTGTGTATGTGTCTGAGGACACACGTGTGCCATGACCTCTGCCTGGAGGTCAGAGGAGAACATTTGCTAATTCCTTCTCTCTTCCACCATGGATTCCAGGGATCAAACTCAGGTCATCAGGCTTGTATGACATGCACCTTTGACCACTGAGCCATGGCACCATGGACTCAAAATGACTTTGACCTACCTCTTGAACACCTGCTTGCTTAAGGTAGACAGCTAATCCTTATGAGAGCAAGATCTGAACAAAACTAGATGGCTAAGAACCAGGAACGAGGGCCGGGTGCCTAAAGCAGGTGTACCAGGAAGTCACCCTACCAGCCAGGGGTCTAGGTGGACCTGGGGGGAGACCCTGCCTGGGAGAACCATCATGATTACTTCATTTCACACCTCAAACCAGGGGTCCTCAGCTAGGCACGTCTGGAGCCAGGGCTTTGGCTAGGCACCCACACAGCCCAGTGATGGCATAAGTCTCCAGCCCTTGGGAGGTGGAACCGCCCCAAGCTCCAGAGTTTAGCTGCCCTGACCCTTCCTCATAGATGACCACTGCGAGCCATAAACTCAGTATGACCAGAGCATCACAGGCTACAGTTTGTCCACACACAACTGTCTTGTTTCACCAAGGGAATGAAAAAGAGGAACCAAGACTTGCTCAGGCTGTTTCTGGGCATTACCTGGGGGAAGGGGAGGGAGGGCCCCCATTCTAACCACGTGAAAAGTCCCACAGAAGCCCCGGTAGAGGAAGCCTCAACTTGAGGGTGGGTGGGTGGAGGGATCAGAAATGAGGGGAAACCTGAGACCAGTCTGGGAGGGATTGCATTAGGGGGAATCTAGGTTCTGTCACTCAGAGGCTGTATTGGAAACACGTGCCCTCCTAAAGGGACAGTCTGTCTAGTCCAGTTCCTTTGCAATCTCGTATTTAGAGTGCAGAGTCAGAACACAGGAATGAGTTTTCTTTTGGGAACAAAAGACAAAATATTTCAAATGACACTATCTCAGACAGGCCAGCAAGATGGCTCAGTGGGTAAAGGTGTTTGCTTCCAAGCCTGATGACCCGCGTTAATCCTATGTGAAAAAAGAGAACCAACTCCTGAAGATGTCCTCTGATGTGCTCACACACAAATAAACATAATCAAATTTCATTTTTAAAAGCATTTAAAGCAGCCAGGCAGTGGTGGCACACGCCTTTAATCCCAGCACTCAGGAAACAGAGGCAGGTGTGTCTCTGTGAGTTTGAGGCCAGCCTGGTCTACAAAGCTACACAGAGAAACCCTGTCTTGAAAAAAAAAAAAAACAGCAACAACAGAAAAAAAACCAAAACCAAACAAACAAAAAAGCATTTAAAGCAAGTGCTAACTCAGGGGGTGGTTTTAAGGGTCACTGAGAAATGCAGGTGCATGTACCTGACTGTGTGCCCATAGTGTAGGCAGATGCTGGCTCTCAAGGTGAACTCACCTTAAACCTAAAGATGTCGCCAAGAGCTAGAGGTTGCTTAATGTTTCCCCCGGAGAAAAGCATGAAGGTAATGACCCAAATCCCCTGGAGACCGTGGCAGCAGGGTCATGTGTTAGCTTGAGTTCAAGGTTAGCCTGGGCTACACAGTGATATCCTATCTCAAAAAACTAAAAACTGGGATTGTAGAGACATGACTCAGTGGTTAAGAATACTTCCTATTCTCCCAAGTTCGGTTTCCAACACACACATCCAGTCTGATGCCTTCTTGTAGCCTCCGAGAGCATGCACACATATCACACACACACACACACACACACACACACACACACGCACACACGCGTGCATAAAATAAAACGAAATCTTTTGAAAAGAATACTAAAAACCAAAAACACTGCATACTCCTAGTGGTCAAAGCCCTCAGGCAGAGATGAAGAAGGAGCTGGTAGCCTTGCTGCTTTGGGAAAAAAGGAGGACATA